TTGCAAAGGATATGAACATTGCAATTTGAATCAAACTTCTCATCAAAGACCACAAGAATCTTTCCCCTATATATGTCTTGCAGCTTGCCTTTCGTAAGAGAATGTGCTTATTTTTGAGCTCAGATATAGCGCAGCGCGATTCGTTTATTTAAGGTGCTAGCACGATGCTTCTAGATTGTTCAGCGTAGCTGGATATTGTCAAAATGATGATGGAGACAGTCTGTGTTCGTAAGACGCGGTCCATATTGAAAGCCTGGTAATTGGCTTCTCCTATGTTGCTAGTGACCTGTACATTAAGTTGTTGTTGCTGGGTCTGTGGCTCATGGTTTTCGTTTGTTCATTCGTTGAATGGTCTATGACCGTCGTGTGTGTTTGATTTATTTTAGCCGCCGAACAGAACTTTTGCACACGCTGTAGAAATAAGAGGGTGATTAAGAGGGCTGTGAAGTCATCAGCTGAGTGGAATTCCGAATGTGCTGGTAGCTTAAGATTTGGGACGTGGGCTGAACTCGAACAGTGAGGCCTTCTTTTTTGACTTATCGCTTGTATTTTTTCTCATTGATAGGCCGGTGTAGGAACATGCAGTCTTGGTGTTTGTGTTGATCAAGAAGGTATCTTAGGCTGTGCTGTACATGACGCGACAGCCAAATCGAATGATCCAGCCAACCTGATTTAAGAGGATATTGTTTTGCTCCACAAGCAATGGCCACAATGCTCTTTTGTCGGTTTGTGTTGCGTACATCGGGGGCCAACACGATTTCGCAGTGATCAGCTGTGTTCGTTGTCTACAAATTAATTTATTCCTTTCGAAGCATCTTACTAATCTAATTAAATGTATGTTTCATAAAATATGGAGCGAAATTTGTAATAATTGTTGAGTTGTACCCGACTCTCTAACCTGGCTACAAATAGGAGGTACACGCCTTACACAGATAGCATACTAGGTTAACGCCCTACAAGTACATACACTTAATCGCGATATAAATCGTGCGAAGAGGTTATTTGTCGCCCCCCAGCTGGACATCGCCTTTTATAGAAGTATTGGACGGGCTATTACTCCTCGGAGCTGGCCTGGCCGCTCGACATCTTATATACTCCGGTAATTATCAGTCTAATCACCCCGGTACTCGACGTGAAAATGCACCAAGCAGCTTTTGGCGTCAAGTGCTGTTGTGTGGCATACCAACAAAAGTTATGTAGACAAACTGTCATGCCATTGCCGCATTACAGCATGGAAACCACGACCACCCCTTCGCTACAATCCTTTGGCACAAGGATAGCGACTTGCTCAGCTACATTTCTACGTAGCAGAAGACATCAACAACATCTGTGGGCGATTTTAACGCTAGGAAAACTCGCCGCAGCGATACAACAAAAGTATATTAAAAGCATACGACAGACGCCACAATAGGAACTTTCTCGCACTATTCTTCGAGTACTTCGTGACATGCCTTAAGGCCTTCGTCCAAGTCAAGCGCATTTGCATATGCTTTCCATAACTGTCGTTGGAGTGCAGTATTTCGAAAGAGTTCACAGTTGCCAATGTCGTACCACACTCAAATCCTTTAAGGCTCCCACTGCCGCTACAGCGACTTGGTTTGTAGAGAACCCAGATGCTGCCTTTTGGGAGCGAGATATCAAGCTGGACTTGCATCTTCTCCCGGTCTAAGATGGCCTTCTCGTCCGTCTCCAACACAATACCGTATAACTGGGCTACGATTTCCCTGCATATTCAAGGCTCCAAGACAATGTGCCATTTGACTGTGATCACATTGCGATTTCCCAATATCTCTTCTGGCTCTGTCCATTTGCTATGCAATATGGCAGCATACCAAATTTTTACATACTCACTTCGTTTCACTATTCTCGCTTAACCGAATAGTGGCCTTCAGCGCATATATCTTTAGTCCATAGTATACGTAGCCCCGACGAGTATAATGCAACTTATTGATCTGTGCGGTCAGGCAGCTTCAAGCTTGGGGTGGGGTTAAAGTCTGCGTGCAACTAAAAGTGTATCAAGAATGGACAATTCTGAAAATAGTTAAGCGAACTGACTCCAACATTAGACATAATGTGACCTTCCACAATGAAAGTTGCGGAGCTTATAATGTTTGTATAATATTTTATATTAGCTAGCGTCAAATGCTGTGCCTATTCATCCATCAATACAAACAAAGGCATTGACTTTCAGTCTGGTGTACGCTTGCTTAGGTAATCTGCACGTTACCACCAATTTGCGAAACATTTGAGTCCATCATTCGAGAATCGCGCAGCAAACAATTGTTTCACATTTCCAACGAAATAGACTCCGAGACAATGGTCTATTTTAATAATGCATCACAAGCTTCTATGTATGTAGGAGGTCACATCTCTCGAAAACATTCAACTGGTTCCAATAAATTCAAATGTAGTTTAACTCTCGCTCTTGCTGTTCCTGATAGGCACGATATGTATTGTTAAAATGTGGTTCGAACATAATCATCCATTCGTCGTAAGTAATTCTTTTGTTCTTAGAGTTTGGATGTGGATCCTCGCCAACGTCTTCACCCCCACGAAATTGATGCCAGTCGCAGCCCAAAAATTGACACAAATTTCGATAGCCCCAGCGAAATCGCTCTATTGGAAATATTTCTATAATCGTTGTCTTAGGACGTGACCAGAGTACATTCACAAGACCAGCTCCGTGCATACTGACGATCATATCGCTCTCGATCGTTGTTTTCATCTGTTCTGCTAATGTGAGACTCACAAAGTCAACAGAGCGAAATACCACATTGACGTCACTGTACTTGTTCCGCATTTTCTCCATTATCTCGTCTTCATTGAGCCATACGCGCTGCAGTTCACGTCCACTGTACGGTCGACGGGTTATCGTGGTGACATACATGGGACGATTACTAGTCATTCCGATGCTGCGTTCAGCTTCCAAAGTGATTCCCATTGCTTTCAGTGAGTGTGACCGAAATGTCTTGAGCAATTCCGAATCAAAACACGGCTCCTTGTTGTTTAAGTGTTGCATCATTGGACCTGAAACTTCAAACGGAGCAATCATAACCTCACCACGAAAATGGACACGTTTATTCAATAACGAAGTGCCAGCAATCAGATCTTGATTCGGTGACAACAATTTCTGATGCAGCTCATCAATTGGTGATGGGTAGCCACCGTCAAGGTGGATAACATGAGTTTTGGTAACATCCCAGTTAAGAACCTGAAGCATAATCCACGAATTAAGAGCGTTTGAAATTTGGAAAAACGGGTTGTGGTCGTCACGGCGGGCAATTAATACTACTGGATCCTCAAAAACGAGTGTCTCGTTCAAATCCAGACTTTTTAATGGATTTTTCATAAAATCCCATGAGTGATTGGCAGTAAGGTCCCGCTTCGGTGAGCAAATACTTGATAAGGCAGAATCATTGTTTGGAATACGCATCAGCGCGGATTGCCACACTTGCTGAAGTTGACGATCCCGGTTGGTCGAAATGTTCGTGATATAGTTGGCAAATTCATCGCACACACAATTAATCAAATTGGGACTAAAGACAAATCGTGGGTCATGTTTGCCGCCGTCTTGTGCCATACTCGCGATAGGTGCGTGAATCTTAACGTCAACGAAATCTAACATGAGATTATTGAACACAGTACTCTTTATCCCCCCTCCGACTTGAAACGTTGATATCTTCGTAGCTTTCATAAAGCTCGTTGGTCTCTGTTTGTCTTTGTCCCATCCGCCACTCTTACAAAAGGTGTGAGAAGCTTGACGAAGAGCTGGAATGATCCCAAGATCTCGTTCTTTGTAGCACTTTTGCTTTGTCGTTTCATTCTTGTATACGTACGGAGCTCGTGTTGGAAAAGGGACTTCCGTTCGAAGTAGTAGCTGTTGCTGCGAATGGAGCGCTTGTTGATTATCGGTACGACGGATAGCCACGTGGTTTTGCGGACGATTGCTGGCATTCAAGAGATCCAGAACACGCCCCATCATCGTAAATGTAGTCACCAATAACAGCAAAAGCCCTATTATTTCGGGAGTATGGCGACGTAAAAACATGAAGTCCGACGCCTTGCTTTTCGTCATGGTAAATGCAGTACGATGGCGGCGGATGTAAGATGACGATTGCTGGTGGACTGATGATTTCGTAACGGGTTGGGATCCAGCAAAACAAAGTGAATATATAAAAATAAATGCAAATCGGCTACTCGACATAACGACTCGAAACTTTTAAGCCAATGAGGACGAGTCGGCAGAAAAAACATGTCATGACGATTTATTTATAGTTACTTTTTAAACTCAAAAATGCAGCAGTGAAGAGAGCGAAGGATGATTAGAAGATGTATAAAAGAAAAAGATTGAGGGGTTAAGTGCTGGGAGCTAAACAACTGTAACACGCACTCGAAGTCAAGAGGATGATAACAGCTAGCACATCGCTGTCATGCAGAGTTTGTCACTCAAAAGTATCAATGGTGAATACATTAGGCGTGAAAGCCAGCAAATGATGATGTCACATTATGACGTATCGGGATTATTGTGAGTACAAGGGGTAATTTACATCGGTCAGCTTGTAAAGAAAGCTTGAGGATCAAAGTCAATGCGCTGCTATTTATTTGTGTGTGTGTGTGTGTGCAAAAACGGTGTATAATTGAGCAAGCGTTGAACCGTTTGAATTTAAACTTGAACAATGATGCAGACTCTGGTAATGATTTTCTTAAGTTCCAGGTAGAAGTAAGAGCCATTCTTGTCCTGAAACGCGGGCTTCGGTACACTTCTGCATTGGCCGTTCTTTCGTAGCCCTCACCCGTCTACTGAAAATATGTCCTGTCTTACCAGTATTCTGTCTGCAAGAAGAGGACAGGTCGTCCTAATAGCCACTACTCAAGCGGAGCAAATACGACATCAGCTGCAATATTGTCGAAAGAATGTGCATCACACACTGGTGGATCGCCAAGGTGCATTCCGTAAGAAATATAAAGTCTCCAGCCTCTATTTGAAACAACGCGCCTACGATCCTCCACAATCTCTGGCACATATTTAATATTTAATATTTCTTAGACGTGTTTTGTTGCGCTCTCGACTGAATTCTTGGTACAACATCGTCAGCAAGACCAAATTCCGGAAAGAGTCACCGCGTGAGAAATCGCAAAATTGACACTTTCTCGTTTATTTCACGGTCTTGTAATACTCAAGAGACGAGAATTATGAGAAAACTTCTTGTGAACTATGTAACCACTGCATGACAAGGCTGCTGATTTATTTTTCTTTGTGCGCCTTTGAAGCTGTCAGAGGTGTCCCATTGTGATGGTGCATAACCAAAAGCGATAACTGCTACGTTTATGAAGCGAACGAGCGACATTTACTTACAAAAAATTGCTGAATGTCAAAAGCTTAAAAGAATGCACTACTCAGAACGTCATCGCAATTATTTTAAGCCGTATTTTTATCTTCAATGCGCCACAAGTGCCTCATGGCATTCGATGTAGACGTGCATCCGTATTCACACTCCTGAACGGCGCAATTTTCATGGAATGTCCGCCAGTGAGTAAGTTAGCGTGACGATTTTCCCGCAACTCTATCATTGCCTTTTAACACATAATTCGTTTCTACTCAAAACCAAGCTCACGCGTGAATGTTTGGCTTCAATTTGCAACAACTTCCAGTAGCAAACCCACTCTTCATTTCAAAAGTTTTACCTGTGTTCGACTATATTTTCGGCTGCTGGCCATCTAGACGCAAAACTTTTAGATAATCTAGCGCCAAACAAGCGTGAAGAGAAAATCACTGCAGAAACAATTGATTATATTTGGCGGATGATCCTAGTATTTGCAACAGCCGGCGTAAAGCCCGATCTGCCAACGAGGAGCAAAGCTTTCAAATACCACGTATTAGTCTAGCAGAGCGCTAGCTTTGTCCGTTTGTGCCACCCAATACTGTTCATCACTTCATTTAGTGGCTTTGAGTTGAGTTTTTGAACGTCTCGAAGCCATAACAGAGGCTAAGGAGACTCCATTTAAATGTCGCTCCTGTAGTCACGAAAGGAAGCCAATTTGCCAAAGATGATCTTTGTCATACTCGATTTGCCTGATGGTAAGTAGGCGCTGACGACTAGTATAATGAAGTTAGACATCTGAGCGGGAATCAGAAAATTACTGATAGTATATCAGTGTATTTTTATGACCCCTAACAAAGAATACAATCGCTGCAGTGGTGTAGCTTTTTAAAGTACCAAAAGATAAAATTTCATAATTAGTGTTTGGTATTGTTAAGCTCTAAGCAGACTCAGTGCTTCTTACTTATAATGCTTCGGCACCAAGTTGTAAGTCCTCTGTGCGTTCGTTAACACAAATTGGTCAAGACTTACTCTGGTTAAGGTTCACGGCAACCCGTAAAGGCATTTTGGTCCAAGATCTGGCTAGAGATTAAAATCTCATCCACACCATAAGCGACTAAAAGTCGAAAATGGACACCACGCAGTGATTTGTTGGTCATCCATATCACCATTTCTGTCGTGAATCAGAGTCTTTTTGACGCAGACAAGAGGCTAATTTCGGTGCAGGAAATGAAAAATCTATCATACTGCTAGTACTTTGAGACAAGCTAAAAATTCAGAGCGAATCTCTGATAAGACGTTTGATTACAGCTATAAGCTAGGTTTCACGGGGGTAAGTTCTGGTGGGAAGAAAAATAACTGTGTTTCATGTACTGCTGATCCTTTCTAGAACAGTCAGAGAGCCGGATTGCGCTGTCAGCAAGGCGAATTTGAGTCGCAAGCAGAAGCCCCAGACCTAACGCTATCAAGGAGTGTTCATCCTTGCCACGAAGTAGCGGTACCGTTGAGCCAGCAATACCTCGTGACGCGCCCACCTTGCGGAGTGAAGAAGCGTCAAGGTGTTTTTGGGGAGGTGGTTAACCCATTTGTGAGAGGAGTGATCAGTCAATGATAGAGGATGTAATTACGTTAACTCACTCAGGCAGAAGCTCTATGAGCCTAAATAATTTCCTGGGAAGATTACAAGATCATGAGATCACCGAGCTGGCACAATTAGTACCGAAAGGGGCTAAAGTAAGTGATGATTGCATCAAAGGGGGCAATCGTAGAGTAATTAAAGCAAGGTGCAGGTAGTAAAGCTCTTGAAATGAAGAGTAGGATCGCTACTGGAAGTTGTTGCAAATTGAAGCCAAACATCTACGCGTGAGCTTGGTTTTGAGTACAAAAGAATGTTAAAAGGCAATGATAGAGTTGCGGGAAAGTCGCCACGCTAAATTACTCACTAGCGGACATTCCATGAAAAACGCGCCGTTTAAGAGTGTGAATACGGATGCACGTCTATATCGAAAGCCATGAGGCTTTTGTGGTGCATTGAAGATAAAATACGGCTTAAAGTAATTGCGATGACGTTCTGAGTAGTGGGAGTTCTCTTTGCATTTTCCATCAAAAAGGTCAGGGACACTGAACTAGGCGCTATTGACAAAGCTTTTTGTGGCAATTCCTGTCTGCTGGTTACTGTATATACTTTATAGTGAGCATGCACTTTTCGTAATATGCGTTAGCGTGATTTGACGCAAAATATTGGCGCCAAGTACCTGGTACTTGGCATTGAAGAAAGTCAAACTATTCCCTTGGTACGAACCATTGACGTATGGTGCTAGATTTGGTATGGAAACCAGGTCAATCTCATGACGCACCTCTCGAATCGGAGCAAGATCCGTGGCGGACCACATATTGTTAATCATCTAGCAAATGACAGAAGAGAAACGCAAGATCTATGTTTATACACGTTTTTGAAGCGAATAAGCGACATTTACTTACAAAGAATTGCTGAATGTCAAAAGCTTGAAAGAAAGCGGGTGGGATACTCTTAAAAGACTGAATATACACTGGGGACTGTCTAGAGCTACAGCGATGCTCAACTGTCTGGCGACTCAGCTGTCTGGGAGGTCATGCATAAGCATAAAACTTTTTGATGATACATTCGTCCACAGCCCAAGTAGACAAATGTGGTCATCCACATTAAATACTCGAGAGCTTTGCTCGAGTATATGCGCTTGAAAAAGCCATGTTTGCTTTGTGCCAACGAAGTTTTTTTTGGACGATTCAGTGGAAACGCAGATCCGCGAAGATCAAGGTCAACGTTGATTGGTCAGTACCATCAGTTTTAATTATATTCACAAAAGTGGCCAACAAAGAGCGAATATAATACTGTGTGGCTGAAAAGTCTATGATAGCTGCAGACTAAAAAGAGGCAGAAATACTTTTCGCCACCTGTATGCATGTGAATACGATCATCCAATCGTTCCACATACTTTAATTGGATCAGCAATCCTACAGTTATAACTCATTTGTGATGGATAAGAACGACATAGCGACGTCTGCAAATGAGACTATTCCACCCGCGAGTCCCTGCAGAGCACGCCGACGTTTGCTGCAGAGTTTAGTGCTCTCTTTGACAGCTTTAGGTGCACTCTCAATGGTCGCACAAGTCACTGATTTGTGGGCCGCCACTTCGGGCTTTCTCAGAGACCAGGACTCTTTCCATCAAAGTGAGTATAAGCAACAAGTGCGATTAGCGTTAATGCTACTGCATATTCGATCTAGTTTCTCAAGCTAATACTTCTGTGAATTTGGCCACATATTTAGATGAACAAAAGCGTATTCAAAGTCTTGTGGTACAACGTACGAAGGCTCCGTACAAGTATGACAGCGAAAAAATTAAGCGCAAATGTTATGCTGAACGTGATATGGGCATCATACCAGCGGTACCACAGGGAGCTTTGACTTTTTGTGCTGATGGAGGCTGGGATAGCGTCAAGCAGGTTTCTATGAGCTTGGAAAACGCCACGAGAGTCACGACGTACAAAGTCGCAGGAGGTATTTGGAGCACCACATTTCAGAATCTGATGCTGGATTTAGTTGGAGTTCAAATTCATAAACCCATTGAAAGTATGGCGAATGATGGCGGTTCTCATGATCCAAGATTTCGATTTAATCCACGACTTATCAATTGCGCGTGTGATGAGCTGGTTTCTTACTTTACATCAATGGCAGATGAAAAGATGCGGTGGTCAAAGCAAATCTGGGAAGCGTTTTTAAGGTTTAAAAATGTCGAAGTGGTCCCAAATGCCACCATTTGCATGCCACCAACAACGAAAGATGACGCTCGATCGTCGTGGGATTTTATAAACCACCCGTTCGACCCACCAGATCCTAACAAGACGTTGGTTTTTGACGATCCAGTGGTGCTAATCGCTCGACGTGACGATCACAATCCGTTCTTTCAAGTCTCGTATGCTTTAAATTCGTGGATTATGCTTAAAGGTCTTGGCTGGGATATATCAAAAACGCACGTGATTCATCTTGACGGTGGCTACCCTTCACCAATCGATACGCTACATCAAAAACTATTGGCTCCAAATCATGAATTAATTGATGGGAATTCGCTGATGGGAAAGCGCATTCACTTTCGAGGTGATGTGATGCTAGCTCCTTTTGAAATTTATGGACCTATGATGCAGCATCTGAACAACGAGGAACCATGCTATGACTCAAAACTTTTCAAGTCCTTTCGAGCGCAGTCATTATTGACGCAGAACATCACTCCAGAAGTGGAACGCGCACTCGGTGTCGCACGCATACGGCCAATGATCGTGACGGTCATTACCCGTCGGCCGTACAAAGGACGCTCATTGCAACGCATTTGGATAAATGAGGACGAGATTTTAGGGTCGATGCGAACTGAGTACAAGGATCTAGACGTGATGATTCGCTCTATAGAATATGCAAATTTGACGCTAGCAGAGCAAATGAAAACCACCATCGAGAGCGACATAATTATTAGTATGCACGGTGCTGGTCTTGTGAACGTATTATGGACACGCCAGATGACGACAGTGGTCGAAATTTTTCCAAAAAAGCGATTTCGATGGGGTTACCGCAATCTGTGCCAACTAATAGGTTGTGACTGGCACGAATTTCGTGGTGGGGAGGATATCGGTGGCGATAATGACCCCAACAGTAAGAATAAGCGCATTCTGTTCGGTGAATGGATGAATTTTTTCAACCCTTTATTTCGAGAGACCTATGATGCCTTTGAAAAGCAGCAGGCAATTTTACGTGGCGTGGATTTGAGTCCATGATTTTTTCGAATAGTGCATCTAGAATTTGTTAACAGCTTTGATTTAAGACCTTTATTGTGAAGGACTTTAGATATCTACTTGTGTATCATATAGAAAACCTCGCAACTTTTTGAAGTGTTTTAAGAAAACGTATCTTTAAGTGCTTGGATATTTGGTTGAATCGTGCCCATACATTCATGATACAGCATTGTCAGCATTTATACCCCCAGCGATGCTAACGAAGAGAAAGCCCGATGGTAATTCGGATAAAATTGACGATTTGTGGTCTCGTTTTGGTTCTATATTCATTTTTTTTGTTTGAGATCACTCGTTTCAAAATTGCTGGCTAGACCAGCGACCAGCACAGATAATGCCCGTAAACAGGAAACTCATATTTGTATAACTCAGTGTGTACGCTGTTGCGCTCAAAATCGCTCGTTAAAATCAAGTGATACTGATCGTCGCAAATGAAATGGTGATGGAAAGAAATATTTCTCGTATTGAAGCTTAACGGCTAGTGGCTGTATAGTACTCAAGTGTGAAGGATCGGTTCATATTAATGTACAGCTCAACATTCAACGCTACAGGAGTTTGAAGCACGAAAAGCTATGTATAAGAATTTGAATTGGCGGAGATCATTCTCAGCGAAACTCTCTTTCACACCATAGCAGCATGCAGACTGACTGGAGAAACACAGAGTACCTAATACTCAGTCACTAGCCCTCGAAATGTATCTTCATCATCAATCTTGTGTCTTCAATAAGCTTCAAAATTGAAACTGCTGCAACAATGCTTGACACGATGATCCTGTCAAGGAGCTTTCTTGTGCACCATCAACCCTTATTTGCCACTGATACTTGTGTGCAATCAATACCACGTTGTTAAATTATCCTATCTCAGCGTTTTTGCCTTGCTCGACCTGCAATTTATACATAATGCTTCTAAGACATCTCTCTAACTGATAATTTTGGTGTTACGCTAGTCTGAACATACTCGGTTTGCACCCCTTCGTTGACCGTTGTTGGCGACGGAGACCGACTGACACCTTGATCAGTTGGACGTCGACAGGCAGCGCGTCCCTTCCTGGACCTGTATCGAGCTAAATCCACAGGCGCACATAACGGAAAGGTTTCAAGATTAGTAAAGTTTTTAACTATTACTGCGTCTCTTTGGTGGATCGAATCTTTGCTGCGTCATCGCTCTAATGTCTCCGACAATTTACAATGACACTTGGATCAAAAGCGTCGCGACACCCCTCGCGTTTCACTTTTGGATACAAGCGTGAATAACATTCGTAACAATGGCTGAAAAACATAGCGTAGTGGTATGTTCTTCGACCTAATGGACATCGTTTTTTGTCGGTTAAAAGCATACTGCATCGTTTTCCAGTGTTATTGACAAGTTCCTTTAAGAAACAACAGAATATTGCAGGACGGCAAAAAATATCTAAAGAGTTTTAGACGAAGCGAAGAAAAATCTGCATGAGAGAAATTTTAGCTGTACGCTATCCTCGGATATGATTGTCGCTTCTACACGTAACGATCCGTTTTTAAGGCCGCTAGGTTTGTGCTCTCTGACTTACGTAGTTAGAGTTTGATTGTTTGACTCATAACATATGGAGCCAAAATTGCATTGACGAGTTCTTCAGACGATAGGCGATCGTTTCCCTTTAAGTATAGGAGAAGACTATCGCAATGAGGCCATCTGCTGCTACTAGGGTACTCGGGTCTGGGAGATATTCGCCGCTGAATTAATTGAACGTGTCTACTGCGTCAATACGCTCGTTGTCCACTGTGTTGAAGACGCACGGACTGTACGATGCGGAGACAAATGTAAAAGGAACAAACTTGTTATCTCTTTCCCTCTTTATATTTTTCTTTGAACTCCAGCCAAAAAATCATAGCAAATAAACTCGAGACTTATCTGGCACGAGTATGTCTGCAAATTGTATGGAAGTAAACAAACTTTGTTCTAATATCGATTGATGAAGGTCGTAGAAGCAATTGATTCTGCACGGTGTAATTTCATATAAAACAACTTAAATAACTTCTCTTTGTTTGTCGACGATAAGAGTGGTCCTTGACGTCAAGTTCAGATTCGTGTCTTTTCGCGCGTAAAACGCCAAGACGTGTCGTCTGGTCCGCCCTGGACTGACTGCCGTCAACGTTGGGGGAACAGATAAATGGTGAGCAGATAGGGCGTCAAAAGTTGTCTCATGGAAAGGAGTATCACTATATTGAAGTTATGTCAACAGAAGTAAACTTATTCTAGCTGGTGATAGGAATACTTTTGCGATAACTAAAGCATCTAAACAAAATCAAATTTGTGTCTCAAGTACTGCTCTGTTTAGTGGTCAGACTATCGGTTCCCTTTATCTTCCAAGGTAATGGCTTAAGTACTGACCCTCTGACGCCATCGAAGCCAGGCGCTTGCAAAAAGGACGCCTGCAACGGATGACGTATGTCAAGTGAAATATTCCGCCTGGCCACGCCTCTTGAGGGCTACGGTGGCAACAGATACTACTGTAACTCTCGGTGAGCTCTAAATTCCGACGCTCCTAATCCCACATCTCAATTTCCCCACTCTCAAACAAGAGTATACAACAACCACTACATCACTATCGTGATGTCTTTCCACACATTCCTTCCGCTTTCCCAGCCCAGCTTTGTTGAAATGCCACAACTTCTTGGTATCAAACCAACTCAACATCGTAAGCCCGTGAACAAGAACTCACTCAATTTCATTCTTTCAAATGACAAGGCCATCACGACGTCAGTGTTGCTGCCTTCTTTTCCATGGACTTCACCACAACGTGGATCATCAAACAAGACGTTTGCTCCAATCTTAGCACCACCCTCAGGTCCTTCAAAGATTGCAAAACGTCGTTGTCTCCAAAATGCCAACGTGTGGAATGACAGCACGAAAGTATCAGGCAAAAATGGAGTCGTGCTTGTCAATGGCACAACCATTAAAAAGGGTAGTAAGTACTGCATGATAGAGGGTTGCACGAGTCGCGCCAAGCACGCACGTCGATGCTGGCGCCACGGTGGATCTGTCAAGTGCAAAGTTCACGACTGTGCCAATCGTGCCAAGACCAAAGGGGTCTGCTGGTCGCACGGTGGTGGCACTCTTTGTTCTTTTATCGGCTGTACAACCATTTCTGTCTCAAACGGTGTTTGCTGGGCCCATGGTGGTGGCAAACGCTGCGCAATGGAAGGATGTGCGCGTCCAGCCTACGAGCGTACGAATCATCTTTGCACGATGCATTTTGAGGAGAAGCAAAACATGCCATGTCGAAACGATCACACTTCCTACAACCGTTGTTAAAGTCTAGACCTGCTCAATTTTTGAGGTAGAGCCGCCAATTTAAAACGTATTAGGTATAGCTCGCCGCTCTCTGCTGACATCAACAATTACTTGAATATTGTGGTAATAAAGAGAAATGTATTAACATATGCCATGAGAGCTTTCAGGCCAAGCGAAATACACACTTGTCGTACATAATTCGCTTATCGTTAGTAAATTTTAGACACCTCACTTTGGCAAAACTCACGCCAGTATCACCAAATATCGTTCACCATCGTTGAAAACGGATGAACACAAAGCACGTTTACAAGACTAGCGCCTCGACGGTAGATTCTATGTGCTCAAAAGTATCAGATTGGCGGGGCAAATTAGCACGTTCAAATGTTGCACACAGTCCCATTCATGCCAATACTTTGTACACATCAATACGTACGGTTGACTTTGAATCTTTCATTTTTGTAATTACTTTGAGCAGAAGATCGAGATAAGTATTGAGGTTCATTTTTTATATTCATTTCAATGTTGCATCGTAGGGTCGAGTGACATTTTAAATGGGGAAATAAACGCGCTTGCCCACAAGCAAAACGCGCTAATGATCTCGTATCTCGATGAAAACAATCTTTCGTGTAGGGCAACAATTTCAGTTGCGCCCATATTACTAGGTTTAATACTCGACTTTCGAAAATGAAATATGTAGTGCACATTATATACATTATCAAAATCTAGAATATATAACACAAAAAACACTAGCACATTCATTGACAGTAAAGGTTTTACTGTCCATTCGCTCGCTTGGAAGACTGTACAACAGGCGTGTTGCTGCACCCCCAAACAAAAAACCATTAAATAAAGTAGATGCCGCGTTTACAAACACACAGGGGTAAGCTTGAAGGCCGTCTCTGGAAGGCGAATTTAATGTTTTACCGAAATCCAAAAACTGAATAGTGCTTGGGTTTCAAGGTGATGTCTTGAAAACAGGCCAAATAAACTGTTCACTTCCTTGCTGCATTCGATCGTGTCCTCTAGAGTCAAAGTCATATCCATACTTACGGCTCACGTTCTTAAATTATAAATCCTTCCTAACCCGTATGGGGTTAGGAGCCTACGTGTCTCAATATATTACTATTGCTCCGATCTCGTACCTTGTACAAGATCACAGTTTCTCACCGTGGTGACTCGCCACAGTGCTTCTACGAATCATTTTGGATCTAAAAGCGATGTTGTAGTGTGCACGTTGTGCATATGCCGCGTACGATACTTTCACCAAGACAAAGCCCGACATAGGTAAGTCTCGCCCCAAAGCTTACATTGAAACACCCACACCAAGTTCAAAGAGCATCAACCACGCAAATAACTTTTGTCTAAACCGCTTGCCTAAGCGCTTAGATCAAGAAACACAAAGAAACATGTGGTTTCTATGGCCGACGTTGCAGCGGGGCTGCCGTAGCTTATTCCTTAAAGGAAGCTTACTCAGGCCATCGACCTGACTATCTATACTAGAACCAGTATGAGTGTAGTGAAACTAGAGAAAGACGGTGACGTCACCCCCGAGTCTATTCCCGCGGTGGATGCTTTTCTTGAGCTGGACGAGATGTCCTTCGGAAAGTTTCGCGGTGCCTTGAAGGCAGGCGATTTAGCCGAAGTGGTCATTATACGACCGAACGAGGATATTAGCTCGTCGTCGCTTCTGGATGAAGCTGTCCTGGAGAGCATCAAGAGGGTGCTGAACGCACCCAAGACCCTAACCCAAAGCAAATACACTCTTCCGCTCAAAATAGAAACTGTATTTCTTTGTTCTCATTGCGGCAGAGCCGAAATCTATAGTTTTTCCTGATTAGATAGTAAAATCGAATTAAAATGCATAACTACTGGCAGTCCCGCCACGTAGTGGCTTCTTGTAAAGGTGCAGCCACATTATTGTGTAGTCACACTATCTTGTGTGATCCTACCCTTCATGCCAGGGTATGTGTAACCTGTGCTGAATCAAATTCGCCAATGGCACTAGGATAGTCTCATCGATGTCGAGTTTAAACTTTTAAAGGTCTTGAAGTGGGATAGATACTTCACCATACCCGAAACTCGGCGAGGTTACCGAATCACGGCCATTTGCACAAATAGTAGCACCGACAAGGACCGACCACCACGTTCCCAGGTATGTGCTATATAAGCGAATCATGATAATATTAAAATCAAGCTGCTTGTCTCGAGAAACTAAAAGGAGCCCGGAACCGAATTAAATCCTAAAGGCAGATGAAAATTCAGCCTGGGACGGCTTTTTTGACTGCATCCGCTTGATGTGGTTAAGCGCACAAATTAATTACTTGAGCTTGTAAAATGTCCTACATAGGGAGAATGCAACTTTGTCATGAGGCCAGCAGACAGGTTGCATAACGTCTTTTGAAAAGTTTTATACAACGTTTATAAGTACTTTATCTGCTTTCATCTGCATCTGGTATCTACATGTTGCTTTTGCGTATCGTGGGTTTCAGCGTTTTCCACAAACTTGCCTCATGATGTTATATATCAATGATTACTGATTTTGTAATAAGAGAAAGCCTTTGAATTCAGGGTATTGATCAGTTCGGATCATTTCCTTCCCTATTAAGACCGGGGCCACTTGAAATTGATCAATCTAAGCGTAAAATATGGTGCGATACTTATAGGACTGTACAGGGTTGGTCAACGCAAGCTCAATGCTTGAGAGCAAGAGACCAACGGTCTGTATATTGTCTGCTATTGACGTATTTGATCTTGTGTTAAGTACCATGCACAATGTCTGCCAATAATTTGCTGTACAACTCTTCTCATATAGCCAATTGCTCCAAGCAAGCCATACTGACAACAACTTTGTACGATCGCGGCTAATCTCTACAGCAGCTTAGGAGTAATTTTGCACAAACCACAAATAACGACTTTAACATAGGTATTACTGTAAGCGTCTCTAAGAGATTCAGCCCGTTTATAACTAGCACTCTACTGGAACCGGCAGGCATTTCCTAGGTACCGAAGCATGCGAAAAGAATTTACCTATTGCTACGATTCACACGTGCGCACTTATGGGCTAACTCATTCGTAAATGCTGAGCGACCATAAATAGCACCTACTCAGCCGTAGTTTTTTTAACGCGATGCCCTCCCAAACGAGAGTCGCGTCTTCTATTCGTGCAGTTTGTATCTGAGTGCGATAAAATACAAACATTTTTTTCCCTGTTGTAACACTAAGAACCTTAAGACAAGTAGTAGCGGTGAAGACAACTATGCAAACGCTTAGATAAGTGGCATTTGAGCTTTAAAGATGACTATTTCTCATATTATACCAAAATGACGAGTATAGGTTGCATCTGACTTATACATCGTACGAATAGAATCGATTAAGGTGGATGTTATCGTATGTAATATGAGTAACCCCAAATAAGGGCAGCACAAAAACATATCCACCATCACATATCTGCCAAACAGGTTGGTGCTTTAGCTCAAATTGTATACTAGGCAGGTAAAAATAATTGTTATAACGACGCATGTACTGCAATTAGTGTATATATTCCTGACACTTTTGGTTCATTTGTACTGAGTGTAATACTGTTTTATCGTACGAAGCTTGGATTGAAACTGATGTTATTTCGGATGTTCAAGAGAACTGAGAGATCAGTAGTAATGACAATGTTTGAGAAGAGATCCAAGCTACACATTGGCTGCTGCTAGCCGCACGTCAAAAAACAGCTTTAATATTAAAGATATTAATAGGTTAGTTCAAGCAGCATTATTGCTCAATGTATGTATTAAAAAGATATCAAAGTGAGCGAGACGTCTAGTTGCGGTAGAGGTGCTCGTTATCACTCCTGTTCAATCCTTACGCGTCTGTAAATGCGGACAACAGTGTGAAGACTTCCTTTGCGCAAATGCACGGCACCTCGCCGTACTTGGTAGCGCTTGTGGTCAGTTGCAGTACCGAGTTATGAAAGTATTGAGCACTTTAGGAAAACAGTACAAAAAATATTTGAGCTCTTGTTCATGGAGCAGCCTGGGCAACTCAATAAGATTATGTACATTATTGAGTCCAACGGGATCGGAGAGCTGGTGGCCAAAGCGCTGGAAGCGGCATTTACTCATTTTAACGTTCTAAACACTATGATCTTGCGCTGGATAGACTCACCCAAGAAGCTTCCAGCTGAGTGCCGTTGAGGAGTCGGTAGCAAACACCGTATAAACGCTTATTTTAAGTGTACAGTCTTGGAAAAATTGTTGCTTTCTTCGGATAAGGGAATGTCATAACGCCATGCATTTGTCCATGCTCTTGACGGGGCAACCTCGCATAACGTTTGCGCTAGATAGCCGCGCAAAAGTGCAATGCCTCTGTTTACATGCGTATCCAACCTGCGAAGACAAATGTCGCGGGTGTTCGAATCGCCTAACCAAATACAGCGTGCGTTCAAAGTGTCTCTCCACTCATTAAGAGATGCAAGAACTGGCGGGCCTAAACTACGAGTCAAGAGATTTTCTTCGCCATAACTGCGTCAATCCTCTTTTATTGCCAGTACCTTTACCTTTTCATAGAGAGTTTCAAAACAGATACAGCTCGCACCGAGACCTCACGTTTGCGCCGTACAGCTTTTAAGGAAGCGACAGGTGTCTTTTGTTGAGTCTAACTTGCCGTGTGTGTCAAACGGGGTTGTGGAAGTGAAAGCGAAATGGTTAAGGCAGAAGTGATAAACCTTCGCCTTGCAATGGAGAACTCTTAGCTGCTGAGCGCTTTCGCGGCACTCAGAGATATTCTATCTACAAAAGAAAACTGTAGCGGCTTGCATGCCCGCCTTGCGATTGGTGGCTAAAAACGAGGAAACGAGCTCTCACAAATATTTGCCTACGAACGCTTTGCAAGGGAACGTCTAGCCTAGGAGCGACAAGCAGTGCACAAAGAAAACTAAGATCTGTTGTGCTTGTGAAGGTCGTGGTCGATGGGACGCAGCTCATAAAGAACTCTTTTCCCTAAGAGAGGTGGCGCTTGCAGCTGAATATTGTTGGTTGTTGCATCTAGGTCTTGAGTGTTGTGAATCCGTGGGTATTCCTGATTAGTTAGTAGCGTTGCGCCGATGTACGAGGCGTGTCTGTCAAAAACAATATTCAGGGTACAGAGTCATTGAAAGTTCTTAAACAAATTCGATACCCATGCGTTTTGTAAGCAACTAGTTGAAGTTTCATGAGGCACCTTTGTCTTCTGAAGACTTTGACAGCGTAGAATATTGTCTAGTTATACACTAGATATCAAGAAACAGTTTCATTCTTGGTATGGCGTAGCTGATACACCACGTGCTGGAAGTCGAAAAAATATTTTTTTGGCGAGTCATGTATTCAAAAGTGCAACAAAAAACACTCTGGCGTGAGTAAAGCTGCAATAGTCCGTGCAGGACTTGATATTGCGCGAAACTGATAACAATAGTGTTGATAGGCGCACGCATTGTGCATAGCTCGAGAGGCAAAAGCTGCAGTGAGCAGCTGTATTAAAATGAGAGAGAAAGGTACAACTGTGCATTGCGGTCTCCAGAGTCTGTCTTGTTGAGTTAATAAATTACAACTGGATGTCGTGGTCCTCAGAATAAATATCTACCAGAACGGAAAAATAGGTATCACTTGTGCAAGACCAGACAAAATGCGATTAGCACGTATGTGTACAAGTGCGAAAAGTGTACCCCGCCGCATGCAGCAGTTGATTTCACCAGTCTGTCGGTTTTGATGGAGTGCTTTCTGTTCATCAGCATTAGATGCATCCGGTCGTACCGGTATTGCGGTATTTGTAGCCCGTCTGAACAAGACGGTTTATCTCGCTGCTGCCAGCATTAATGTGAATGGCGAGGATACGCTTAAGGCATTCCTCGACAAAGTATTTCACCAACATATTGTCGATTGCCATCATATTTGATAGAGGTCCGCGCTTTACAGCAAAAAGTTGGCAAACAAGGTGCTCGGCGCCGGATTGCAATCTTAAGCGACGGGCTATTCGCCAGCATTATTATGTTTGAAAGCATTTTTTCAAAACCATTTGCGCGATGACAACGTGGCGCTGACTCGAGTTGGCGCCTTTCTTTGAGCTTGCGATAAAGAATGCACTTCACGCTTTTAATTGCTTTACCCAAATTTTATTTATTTGTTTTGAAAAGCCTTCGGGTGCATTTGATTCCGCCACAATTTAGCCCCTGTCTTCGCGGGGTAGTGCCGTCTATCGAAGTCAACCTGCCAATCTCAGCCCAAGAAACCATTCAAAAAAATAACAGTGATTAAATTACAATAAGGTTGCGTGTCATTCGCAGAATGCATGGCACTGCTGTAAAGAGCAGACGAAAGACACATGAAATGGTGAGGGAAAAATTTTCAATGAATGCGTTTAGTCTAATTACCCCTGCGATGATTGCATTCTTTTACACTGAAATATTGCTGCGCTTGTGGACCTTTCTGTGTTCAATGTGGGCTGACTGGAGCCATACCAAGAGTCCGCTCTTTAGAATGCCTCAGATGTGACCAGATCTGTCGGAGACGAAGCAGCGTCTCCACCATCCGCTGTAGATATGCTTCAAAGCAGCGATTCTTGAACCGCTGGGGGCAAGATAGGCATTGCGATGGCAAAACCTATAAAGCGAGTCCAAAATCTGGCCCTTCTAAGATTTTAAGAGCACGCAAAAACTCCTGATGGGATTGACGTGCTATTGCAATCGCTAGAGACCACGAGAGCTAGCTACGGGAAGATTGATCCTCGCAGGTATTGCTTGATGATGAACAAGTGGCGGTCCACTTTCACGCGAAACTTTTCGGTAGGGCGATGACGAGCTCAGGGCTGTTATGAGAGGCTTGTGAAGTAGAAAAGATCTAATCCATTGGAGTTTCCTGAAGACTTAATTCTCTACTTCATCAAGATGGCCTGGTGCTATAGCCACTTCGGTCCTTGTGCATATTCGGCCTTTATATTACATTAAGAAAAATTTGAGCACCTGTCGCTGCGCGATTCGCACTAGTGGAGGCGTTCGGCGTAGCGGCGAATAGGAACCGTGTAACAGTTATCTCAAGTAGAGAAGCGGGACGTTGATAAGTCGAAGGTTACAGCGGGGCTGCCGTAGCTTTGCGCTTGAGGAAGCGTCTTTAGGTCAACGACCTTTCGCTCTTTACAAGAACCAAGTACTAGTGCAGCGGATCGCAATCCACTGCCTCTTAAAGTACTTAAAAGCCTTAACCAGGGCAAACGAACACTTCTGTTTCTTGAGATGGGTGATTTGGCATGTTTTCGTGACCCAGTAAAAATCAAGCTCGGTAGTCATAGGCAAGTTCTCTAGCTTGAGATTTTCAAGTCACATCTCCCAGGAGAAGAGCCTGCCCCGCTCTTAGTGAAGGTGTTACTGGAGAGATGACCAGTAATTTGAGAAATGGTTCGCACAGCACGTTTGTCGCGCATGTTTTGCTCTTTTGTAGGTGGTAGTGTATGCATATCGCGCAATTTCTCGGCCCCATCCCGCTGAGAGACTTTTGACGCTCTGAAACCGTAATCACGGAGTTAAGATTTGTCAAGGGTCAAATCATTCCTGCTCTTGATATCGCGGAAGTCGTACTCTTTGTGTCAGTTTCAGCTTGTTGATGACAAACTGGACATCATTTTGAGCTCCACAGCAGAGCGTCGCTGGACTTTCGAACTCGTGTAGCGGGGCGAGTCAGCACAGTGAGAGCCCTCTATCTAGAAAGCTTTTTGGCTGTATGTTGCTGGGCAAGATCGAAGGTTTTGGAGAGACAGTTCTTATCCGAAACTTTTTGGGATCCGTCGCCGGGAATATTTCCAGGCGCGCCGGTCGTGAACACCGCGTTTTTTGCGGGGGTTCTGGTCAGCAATTCAATTTGATGCACAGGACGGACCCCCAGCGCAAGTATTATTTGTATGGTAAAATGAGGAGGATGGAGCTGAACTCCAGACGAATTAGTATTTCGTGAAGCGGTCGCTTTAATGCAGCGTTGCATAAAGACAAACTGGGTGTGGACCCCAAATGTTAGTGGGGAGGATGTTCCGCAAAACATATTACAATCTGGTGTCCTATTACCTAGCGTAGATATATTTAATTCGCGGGAATTTGTGGATGTGAAACAAATCATTTTGGCGTTCAGCCCACCAGACTCAGCATCGGGTGTTATTATCGGAGTTTGCACATTCTTTTAGGCAAGAAAGGACTAGTTATCCCTATGTAAGCTTGCAGAATAGCGCATCATACTGCTACCACATCCGTACCACATCTATACAAAAGATCAGCGAATAAAACGTATGTACGACCATCAAACTGTACTACCAGTTCTAACCTTGATACTTTAAATTCCATAGTAAATGTACGCTACCCAGTTACACTTAACGTTGAGAGGAATTGTTGACACTTAAAATTTCAAATTGTCAAAGTGACCATGATAGACTCAGAAACAAGCATTTTGTTTTTTTCTACTCTATTTGATAGCATTTTTATGTTACGGTACAGAATGCTGATCAAATATCTGAGGAGAAAATTTCTCGACTTATCTTGACTTACATCAAGAAAGATGGAGAAGTGCTTCAATTATTTGTCGTCACGCGCAATCATAGCCGTTGTGGTGGCTTGTAATTGGCTATGATAACACCAGCTTGAGTTCTGTTTATGAATGTGCAACTTGATTATGGCTGAAAAGAATCAACTCAAGAATTTTCATTGCCCAGGTTGGATGTCCCGATAGCCGGATAGACCAGATTTGTGCTGGAATAATCAAAAAGGCTACGGCTGCCTGACCCAGTCGTTTATCGCTTGGAACTTGGCGCATCATTTCCCAATATTCTTGACGATGTTCGTGCCAATCCTTTCGACTTTATTACTGCTTGATGTCAGTGTATCCTCCACGTCTAATTCGAGTATAGACCAGCATGAAGACCCAGTCGTGTTCGCACGTCACTTGAATAATTCGTTGCCTTCTGCAAATAGTAGCTTGACCGTTGCAGAGGGAAAGTTTGAGAGCTCCGATGATAGTGAGCAAGACAATACCGACTCTGATGAAACTGATGGGGAAATGAGGATGAAGTTTCTCCTCAACAAGTGGATCTCGCCGTTTTCATACAAACAGTTGCCACCTGAAGAATATTTCAACAGTCTCCGGTCTACTCAACAAAAAGCGTCTAAACTGCTGCTGAATGAGAATCTGAGTAATAAAAATCTTAAGAGGATTTTCAAGCATTTTAAGAAGCTTCTCCAGTCGAATGATGAACAAATGAAATCATTTGTCGATGAGGAAACCGCTGCTTTGCTTCGAAACGCTGCGACCAGCGAGAGGACACAAGCTTTATTGCTCAAATCTGAAACGAAGTTATCAACAATATTCACAAGTTTGATGCTGCGAACAAAAGATGGATCTCTTGAAGAGTTTTTCAAGCTTGAGCTACACATTCCGTTGCTATCCTACACGATAAAACTAATTGGCCAGGTTGGCTTTCCGAAGGGTCGGTCTGAAGTCGCAGACGACATTGTTCGAATACTCACGGCTAATCACAACGGAGGTAATCTGATAACTTGGCTGGGAAGATGCCAATCTGATCAAGATTTGATTAATCGAGTCATCAAAGTGTTGGTGCAGTCGGCCACGACCCGCAAGCTAGCATATCGACTACAATCATTGCGATCTGACGACTTTAAAGACCTGTTTTCGAAAATCGAGCATCTCGATGAGCAAGCGATACGCGATCATATACTTGATTACGCTGCTTATATTCGCTTTAATTTCATTGAGCATGAGGCAAAGAGTTCTTCTTTTGTGGTGTCTAAGTTCCGTTCTTTCCTGCAATATCGTTATAAGGACTCGGAAGAGAAGCAAAAGCAGTTCTTTTCGAGAAAACAAAAGAGAGTCTATCCGACAGGATTTGCTTTGGATAGCAATCGCTATACAGAAATTGATTGGACGCAGTTTACTGAGGATCAAGTGCGTTTATTCAAAGCTACGTTGCAGTCTGACGATCAAGTGAAGTCGGTGAGAGAGACTTTGCAGGCAGCGAGTCAGGTCGCTTCATTTACCGAGAAGCTAGGCGATAAGACCATGGTGGACACGTTTCAGACGGTGCTGAACGACGAGAAATTCGTGCAATGGCTTCAAGCGGTGCTCGAAGACGAGAAAGCAGTGCAATCGCTTAAAACAATATTGAAGGATGCAAAGGATCCGGAAGATCTTATGTTGCTTCTGACAAAAGATGATAAGCTGAATCAAAAAGAAGTGACTGAGCTCGACGAGTTGATCAAGAGTGAGGGTTTATTACAATTGCTACAAACATCTATGGTGAATGATGAACGTATGACGATGCTTAAAAAGGCTTTGGGGTTTGAAGGGCGATTAAGATCAGTTGATGACATCTTATGCAGTACAGAATTGGATACGAAGAAGTTACTAGACGGGATCCTCAGCAATCAAAAGATAACGCAGTCCCTCAAAGAGATAGTGAAGGATGATGTGCGATTGAAGTTATTTAAATCGGCTCTGGAGGGTAAGGAAGAGATCAAAAACTTTCTTTCGGCGCTGGGTGACAAGGATTTGGCGTATGTGCTGTTAAAGGATATGGATCAAGTTTTTTTTCTCAGAGTGGCTATCAAGGATGATTATCGTACGAACTTGTTTCGAGCGGCTTTGGAGAATAAAGAACAGGTGAAGCATTTTGTAGAGGCATTGGACAAAAAGAAACTGGCAAATGTTTTTAAATCGATACTCAAGGAAAAAAATCAAGTGCGTTTGCTTGAAGATGCTGTTACAAAACAATCAAAAGCGGGATTTAGATTTTCTCTTAATGATCGAGATAGAATGATGCTGGCAGAGGAGATGGAAAAGAATTTCATACAGGTCAAGGTGTCAGACAGTAGAATCAACTGATAACATTGTTTGGTACATACACTTTTGCTTTATAAAGCACCTTTAAATTGGTTTGTGCGCAATTAAATTTAAAATATCTGTTGATTTGATAGTAAAACACATTATGCTCCTACGTCTTCCTCTTCCTAGCAGTGCCATATCATATCTATGCCAAATTATTCTGCCGTAATAATATACGACGATCTGGTCAAAAAAGCATTAGAAAGGACGAGGGGACATTGATACCGGCTGGGTTATGAACACTTCCTTGATTCTGATTAATTTCCCACTTTTTTGCTGCACCAATCATGCCAAAAATATGGTTTAACGTAGACTAGAAATCGCTTGACATAAACGCACTGGCCCCCTCCGCATCTTTTCAGCCATTGTTGACAGACATACATTGTCTCGTTCCAGCTTGCCTCAACACGTCCCCAGTAGG